GCTGCAGGCACTGGGTGCCAAGGAGAGTGACTATGGGGTAGGTGGGCAGGATGCACCTGATGATGCTGTGGGATATGGATGCACCTGAGTGGTGATGCTGAGCTGTGGAGGCACCTGGTGTCTCTGGAGGAAAATATCCCACCTGGAACAGTCCTGTGGGGATGTAAAACAGAAATAATTCTTCCAAACATGATAAATGTGGGTCAGCACAGCCCTGGCACTGTCAGAGCTGTGCTGACCCTCTGGGACCATGGCTGGAGGAAGACCAGTGCCCAGTCCAGGGGTCCTGACCCCTCTGCCCCTCTGCCTCTCTTGCAGTTCCTCGTGGACTGCAGCAGTGTCCCAAACATGCCCACCCTCTACTTTGCCATCAGTGGAGCCTGGTTGTCACTACCTCCCACTGTCTATGTCCTGCAGGTAGGTGGGATTTTTCCATTCCCAACAGATGGTTGTCATCCTTGCCTGTCTGTGACCATAGGGAGGGTCTGATCCTGCTCCAGCCACAGCAGCTGTGAAGGCAGGACCAGCTCCTCACTGGCACTGAAATCTGCTCCTTTTCTCCCAACAGAAGGATGGTGTCTGCAGTCTGGGGGTGGAGAGCACATATGTGTCCTCTGCCAGTGGCCAGCCACTCTGGATCCTTGGGAACATCTTCCTCCGGCAGTACTACTCCATCTTCGACGTGGCCAACAACAGAGTTGGCTTTGCCCTGGCAGCCTAGGGATGGGGCATTGCCCATGGGAGAATTTGTCCCTGCAGCACCTTCTCCTCCCTTGGATCTGTGTGTGTGTGTATGAGTAGTAACAAAAGGGCTATGATCCAACTGCCTCATGTCTCCTTTGACCAGGGCTGAGCTGGGTCTGGCACAGCTTTTCTTGATGGAGTTACAGAGTCTGAGCTCATGCTCGAGGTTTCCAGGCCCTTCCCTGGGCTTTCTGATGCCCATGGAACCTTTGGATTGACAAATTTGGGGTGCTTTTCTTTTGATTGGGAACCAGGATCCTGCCTGGGGTTGGCTGAGAAACTGGGATGAGTGGGAGAACTCCAGGCTGCACTGTGTGCTCAGCTGGAGGACCCCAGGGCTGAGGTGCTGCTGTGGCTGGAGGCTGCGGGAACCAGTTTGGAGCAGGATGTGCAGAACAAGGAGCTGTGTGTGAACAGCTCCAGGTTCTTGGGTTTGGGGGAATTGCCCTTGTGTATTTGCAAATAAATTAGGGATTAAAACGTGTCATGCAAGGACACTCAGGCTGAGGGAAACACCCTGGGTTTGCTCTCAAGAGGTGAATCTCCTCTCTGCTGCAGCTCCAAGGAGGAGGAAGGGGGGTGAATCTCCTCACTGCTGCAGCTCCAAGGAGGAGGAAGGGGATGGTGTGCCTGGGATTTGATGTGCCCAAAGCTTGGGGTGTCTGGATGCCCACCAAGAGCTGCTGCTGGAAGCAGTGTTAGACAGACTGGGCCAGCCTGGGGTAGAACTGAGGCTGATCCTCAAGATCCAGCACGGGCAATGCTCGGGAGATGCAGCACCAAGGGCCATCGCCTGCTGCCTGATGTCAGATGACAGTCACTCCACTGGGGCGTGTGACCGCCCCAAAAATCTGCTGTTTCCAGCCAAATCTGCAAGAGGGAGATCCTGGCCACCAAAACACTGTGCTGTGGCCACCAGCAGTGTGGTGGCAGGGTCACACCGTGCCCCAGGGACGCAAAGGGCCGTGGGGGTCACTGGTTGCCCCTCATTCCCAAGAGTTCATCTCACATCTCCCAGCACAGCTCCCCTGGACCCTGAGGGTCCCGTAAGGAGGGGGCAAACCCCCTGTGCCTCGAGCAGGCACTGCTCCCCAGCACCCTGCACATCTCCAGGGCACTGCCAACCCTCCGTGGCCACAACCAGCCGCACGATCCTGGAGCGAGAAGTGGGAAAACCCTGGAGCGAGGAGCCACACGAGCCCCGTGCAAAGGGCTGCAGCATCCTGGTGAAAAGA